GTCGTATTGCTCTTTTTTGCTTTTGACGAGCACGCTGAATGCTCTCAGTTGCAATCTCACGCACTAATTTAAGGTGTTTCATCAGGTTGGTAACATGAGTTTTGGCATCCTGATTCATTCCGTCTTTTGGTATAAGAGATGTGTCAAATGGTAGGTACATTTCTTTTCCGAAGAGAATTTGGTATGGAGCAAGATCCGAGGATTGGGTGGAGGGACTCATTCGGATCACCACCAGGATACCAGGTAAAATGTCATGCCAATTTGTTTGATGCTGGTTCACGTAAGTACGTAGACATTGTGCGAGGGTACTGTTCATCCGTTCACAAGTGGCGTTTGTTTGGGGATGATATGAGCTGGTAAAATGTCTTGTCACTTGGAAAATCTGGCAGACTGCTGTAACAAGTTTGCTCATGAAGTTTTGTCCACGGTCGGTGACAATGGTATATGGCGCACCATAACGACAGAAGATTTCCTTGAAGAGTATTTTGGCTATCTCAGTGGAATCTTGGGTTCTCAATGGAAAGGCCTCTGGCCATTTGCTGAAAGAGTCCACAATTAAAAGTATGTATTTATGTCCTTCTGTAGTTTTGGTGAGTGGGCCAAGGATGTCCATGTGGATTCGAGAAAATGTGTCTTCAATAGGCATTGGTGTCAATGGTGCTGGAGCATGATGTGTTGGTCTTTTGGACAATTGACATTCTTTGCAGGATCTAACATAATCTGCTATGTTTTGATACAAAGTAGGCCAATAATATTTAACTGGATGGCACGGTATGTACGTTCAAAGCCAAGATGTGCACCTCCTGCTAGACTGTCGTGGTATGAGCGTATAACATCTTCTCGGAGACAACGAGGAACTGCTAGTTGTTTGAGGTGATTGTTTGGATGACGCGCCCTTTTGGATCTTGGTTGGTAATAATGGTAAAGAACACCATCAAGAAAAACATAAAAATTGGATTCACTGAGTAGTCTATCTTTGTATTTCTTGTCCTCTGGTAGATCCTTATCTGAGAAGTAGTTGTACAAAGCTTTGAAATCTGGACAGCTCTGTTGAAGATCACCAATAGAAGTTGTGTCTACGGGGTAGATTGTTTCTGTTTCCTTGGTTTTAGGGAATGGTCGCTGATGGTCGGCATAGAAAAAAGTTGCTTGTGTACCTTTTTCTTCCTCTACGGGGTTGAAGCTCTGTACATCAGGTGATGGGATAATGTCTTCTGGGTCCGCTACCATAATTGTTGTCTCAGGATATGAACGGCGGGACAAAGCATCAGCTACTTCATTTTTCTTTCCAGCTTTGAATAGTATCTCATAGGAATATCCTTGAAGTAATACTGCCCATCGAGCTAAACGACCTGTTGATTGTTTTACGTTCTGTAGCCATTTGAGTGCTGCATGGTCTGTAAAGATTTTAAAGGGTTTTCCTGCTAAGTGATCCAACAATTCGCCACTCTGTGTTCCAGAAACTGCAGGGGGGGGGGGGGGGGGGGTATCATAATTATACTGACGAAAAAAAAGGCGAGGAAGGTTATCATAAACTGAAGATTTCTATATAGTGTATGTACTGAAAAAAACATTTTTTTTTATTTTTTGTTCCGCTTATGGTTTATAATTTTAAAACAATACTTAAATTATTAATCATAGACATACATTTTCAGCACTTGAGTTAGTAAGCGTTCAGTCCCTTCTACAGCTTTCAATTCTTTTTATGAAGTGTACACTACTCTTGCACTTTACAGTTGGGGACGGTAATCGTATACTAAAACGCAAAAGAAACGCAACACCCAACTTTAAGGGGAAATGATAATGTAAAGTAAAGAATTTTGTATCTTAAAATTATGGATTTCTTCAATTTTGTAAATATCGATGTTTTAGCGGTTGGACGATTTTCATACCATAACCGGAAGGCAAGTTTGAGTCTGCTTTACAGAAATCAAAAATTGCATGTTTAACAAAACATTTGGCAATGTTTTAGAGTTTTTAAGTGTTTGTAATGTTTAACTAAAGTAATACAGCAATGTTTCCTGTAACGATGCTAAGGCTTCTTGAAAATGGCTTAAGTACGCATTTCCATTGCTTAAGCTGGAAAATTTCAAAGTTTTGGTGATGGAGAGTTGATGATACAAAAATACACTACATGTATATATGGCACGTCAAATTCACAAAAATGAGATAAACCTAGTTTCACAATTGATAAACTAGGTTTATCGACTGTAAACTATAGTTTACAAACCGTAAACTATAGTTAACGATTCGTAAACTATAGTTAACAATTCGTTAAGTATAGTTTTCATCTGTAAAACTATATTTAACGGTCGTTAACTATAGTTTACGAATGCTAATCTAAGTTTATCTGTCTGAATAAAGCGTTAACAATAGATTTTGTTGATAAACATAGATTCACGTTTGTAAACTATAGTTTACAATCGTAAACTATAGTTAAGAGTTGTTAATCATAGTTTCACAAATCGTGAAACTATATTTATCAGATCGTTAACTATAGTTAACGGTTTGTAAACTATAGTTTACAAATCGTGAAACTGTATTTATCAGATAATCTATGTTTTGCAATCGCAAATGACAGTTTTCGGTGTTAAGTATAGTTTACGGTTGTGAATCATAGATTATCGCGTTAACTATAGTTTACAGATGTAAAATATAGATTAACGTTGTTAACTATAGTTTACAGTCTGTAAACTATAGTTTACAACCGATAAACCTAGTTTATCGATTGTGAAACTATGATTATCTCATTTTTGTGAATTTGGCGTGCCATATACATGTGCAATACGCCTCAACGGGGTCTTACGTATCATATACATAAACGATAGTCCTTGCACCGGAAGTCCTAGGGTTACTACATTGCGCTAAGTTAGAAAAAATTCGACCTAATCATCTGAAAAACAGCAGGTCACTTTACATTTTGATTGAATTTAGTATAATAGACAGTTTTCTTTGTCTTACCCCCAAAATAATAATATTTATAACTTTATACAGATCTACTTTATATATATTAATAGAAACGTGAAAGATAGGTACATGTAACCTTATATTGTACATCATTAGATAGATCATTTGTCACCTTACATTTCAGATACATTAAGTCAATTAATTGGGGGACATAGGTCACCTATTATTGTGTATCATAAGGGGGGAGGGGGGGCTTTGGTCACCATATATTGTGCATCAGTAGGGAGACCAGAGGAACCTGTAAAATATTGTGCATCAGTAGGGGGACTAGAGGACACCTTATATTGTATGGGGGGACCAGTGGTCACCTTATATTGTTCTGTACATCAGTAAGGGGGCCAGAGGTCAACTTATAATGTACATCAGTAAGGGGACAAGAGATAACCTTTTATTGTTATAATGCTGTTTTACTAGGACATTTGCTTCTCAACTTTCTTTTGATTTTATGATCAAGTTTATTTATAACAATGATTAGCAAAAGGATATTTTGATCTTCGACTATCACAAGTTACAATTTTAGTCTTCTTGCTATAGAATCAATCTTTACCGTCACTTTTTGTATTTCTGAACGCTGTTCAAACAATACAAAGTTTATTCGAGTTCTCCAACTGTTTAACTTCAAGATTATGAATTTCGAGAAAAATTACCCCTTTCCAGCGTCTTTTTTATGCACTCTAGAGAATTTAAAATAATTTTATTTTATAAAGATCAAGATTTTAGAAAATTAACAAAATGAGGTAAAGTCAATTGTGTGCCACAACATTTGTGAAAATTGAATTTATAGCAGGTTTTCATGGGTACCTGTAAAGTATGAAACGAAATAGAAACGAAACGAAACGAACTGAAACGAAACGAAACCTGCCGGAACGAAACGAAATCTACCGAAACGAAATGAAACGTACCGAAACGAAACGAAATTGAGACGAAACGAAATCAAAACGAAACCTGCCGAAACGAAACGAAACAAAACTATCAAAATGTTTTGTTGCTTTTTTTCAAATCAAGGTACATGTATATAATTATTTGAGCAATAAATCATTATTTTTTGAGTGATATATTTTCATAACTGCAATGGTGTGTGCAAACAAATTGAATAACGCGCGAACGATGTCAATCTTAAATAGGTAAATAAATTATTCAGTAAGATATTAATAAAATATGACAGGCGTCGGAAGCGGGGGGGGGGGGGGGTTAGTTTGCAAAGACATACTGAGTATATGAAATATAGGCAATGAAAATTGGGGTTAACCTTTTTGTTGGTTAAGCCCCCCCCCCCCCCCCCCTTTCAATTTCCTTCCTACGCGTACGCCTATGTATGAGCTTGTCTGTGGTACTTGAACTATATAAATTTCATTTGAAGTAAAAAATAAAAAGACCATATAAACATTCTGAAATTTTGTTTCCGGCGTTTCGTTAGGTTTTGTTTTGATTTCGTTTCGTTTCGTCTTAATTTCGTTTCGTTTCGTTGGTTTCGTTTCGTTTCGGTAGATTTCGTTTCGTTTCGGCAGATTTCGTTTCGTTTCAATTCGTTTCGTTTCGTTTCGTTTCTATTTCGTTTCTCATTTTACAGGTACCCGATTTTCATTTGTCTCCGTTGGATTCAATGTAGAAATACGATATCGTATTTTGAGGTTGCGCCACGTTGTCATTCCATTGCTTACGAAAACATCAAATGACAATTAATTCAAAGTTTACAAACTCTGCTGTATACCGTAATAGTTTTGATATATGGCGCTAGTCCACGAACTTCTCTATAACCCCTCGGATATATAAATATTGGGAAAAAAATAGAGACCCCTACTCCTCGATAAATTTGTAATTAATAATATCCATATTGTTATTTAAACAGCATCATATGGCCCATTAAGCTCATGAAATGATACACTGTTCACTCACTTTTCAGTTATGTTTCTACAGGGTATGATTTTTAGTCCAAAATGATAGACATGTTTTATGAAACAAAAGAATTGGCTACTATTATTTCTTACCTATTGATAGAAACAATTTTTAAAACGACAAAAAATGATGCACGGTGTCGAATTGTTTTATTTAAAATTCATGACCAAAAACATTAATGTCACATTTTTCAATGTTTTATACCCTGTATATGTTTTAAGTTGACTCTTTCTCGTATCCAACTCTATCCCAGTAGTCACACCTGGCCTTTCTAAAGTTGGCTATGATCTGAGGGTCGGGGTACTGAAGCTCCAGGGTAAGATTTCTCATCCCTGAGAAACCGTTTGTTTGGTACTCTGCCCATTTCGGTCTTCTCCAAAGGGAGTTAGGGTTACCATACTTCACAAAATTTCCAAAATATCCGACAATCAAATTGGACAAACGGTAGAAGAAATTGTCTTTTTTACCTGGAACAAGGTCTGGGTGGCGGAAGAAGTAAGGGAAATCTTCAACATGACAAGCCCTGTCTTCACATGAGAGGGGTTGTATGTAGGAGTCCAGATTTGGCTGATCAAATACATAGAGCCAAACTTTGTTGTCTGTAGATATACTATCAGCAAATAACCGGGCTGGGCACGTAAATATGACGTCAGTAAGTAGTTCTGCGATTTCCGGACGAATATCTGTATTTGAGCGAGGTGAACTTGCGTACAAGTTTTGTGTTTCTGAAACTATTGCTGGTCGCCATTGACCCACCACTGCACCATACGCTGGGGCGGGAACTGGAGAGGTCAATCTACTGTAGGTCAAACTGAGGCTCTCATAGGCAGACGTTCCGATGATGACGGGTTTGTCTCCAAATTTGTTTCTGGCGTCAGTGTTGTCATAAAAGCTTTCTGTGATCTCCAGCCCATCGATGTAGACCCCAAAGCGCTGGAAACCTTGCAGAAAATTTTGAGTGGGTGGTAAAAGCAAGCTCTGTGTGACGATTTCCTCAGCGGTCTTGTTTCTCAGGCATTCTAGTTTATCGTTACTGGTATCACAGCCTAGTCCGTTCAATAAACCGGCGACGGTTCTATCTGCAACGTCAGTGGTTGGGACTTCGATTCCTGGAGTTGACATTAATATTGCTTGTTGAAAGAGAGACCGAGACCCCGGCGTCATCATATGGAACAGTGTCGCGTGAGCGCCAGCACTTTCACCGCCCAACGTCACCTAATAAGGAGAAATAATCTGAAACAACTGAACATTTCCGAAGAACGTTTCAAAAATATAATTTTGATATTCTCGTTTTTTTTTTTCAAAACGCTGATAAAATAAATGACTTATTATGACCTGGAAAGAAAATGCCCTGCTTTAATTTAATTTTTACCATTTTTCTCTTCACGAGGCAAACTAAGACATAGATTAATATAGCAATAAACAAGCACTTGTAAGATAAGGACAGTTATAGTGTTAATGCATTTTATTTACAAGTACTATAGAAACAAGAGAAGTTAATTTTAGCTGTAACTTTATTTTCTTATTCCCAAAAATATCCTCAGTTACCCGACACAATTTTTATTAAAAGCGTATAAGATAAACATTACCCTGTTTGGATCCCCTCCGAAATAGTGGATGTTGTTTTGTACCCATTGTAATGCCAGACGCTGGTCATAAAAGCCATAGTTACCAGTGCTCTGTACATCAGGTACTTTCAGAAACCCAAGAGCGCCTACAATTGCATGCAAGAGATACTACATATTTATTCTTCAGAAGTACTGATTTTTAGCATACTTTCAATAAGCAAGGTATCTTGAAGGTATATTTTGATAAATAATCGAAACTGTAAATAAATCAAAAAGTATTATATTGTTTGTTGAAATTCATAAAACTAAAAGGTTTTCTTCATACCTAGACGATAGTTTAAGGTAACAACAATCATTCTGGCGGATGAAGCAAGCTTCAGGCCATTATAATAAGGACTTCCGGCGGTGTACGCCTGGTAATATCCGCCATGAATCCACACCAAAACGGCATATTTCTTCTGGCGACTGCCTCTGCGTGGGCTGTATTTGGCTCTTCTAGGGGTGTAAATGTTTAACGTCAGACAGTCCTCACTCATCTGTACAAAAATTAACCATAGTTTGCGGTGATTAAAGTGTATATTGTGTAATTTCACATACCGTATATCCAGTTTTTTTTCGCGTGTTGGAAATTTTGTGAAAAAGGGGTAGATTTGTACAGTTTTTATTTTGCGTTAGTTAATTTTTACGATTGAAGTTTTTGTTTTTAAAGAAAGGGTTATGTTTTTATGTCACATTATAGCTGACATAATTTTTGCGTGTTCTGTATTTTGCGAATTAAAAATGGTCGCAGAAAAAAGCGAACAATAGATCATCGCGAAAAACCCATATATATGGTTATTTCAAATGAGAAAGCGCATCTCATCTCTTTGTTCAGGCAATTAAGGACTTTGTAAAATATAATCTAGTTTTATTTTATTAATACAGTAATGTGTTCATTTACGCATTTCTTTTACTAAAGACTATTTATGAAAAATAACTATTTTAAAATCACATTACTTTGATACATCAGGTGAGAGAGAGAATTGAATTGAACCAGATTTCTGATGATACTGAAGATCTACTGACGTGTACATTGTACATGGTAAATTAAATCTTAGTACAGTTTCTTGTTAACCATTGAATTTGGAGCAAAACTGCGGAAGAAGGTTTCGACGAATTTATAAAAACGCTCTAATGACTTCGCCACGGGGCGACTGTACATAGATTTACATGTACGATATAAAATGTATCTTTGCCGTTACAGTACCTCTTTATTACAGCTGTCAGGAGCGAGGCTACAGAGAAAGCTCGGCTGGTAACATTGAGGACCATACTGCTCAGCAGATCTAATGCCGTCCCACTGACCAAAAGACATAGAGGACGAATACCTACAAAAATGACATTAAGTAAAGGAGATGGGTGAACTTAGCGTGCAAAAAACCCACAAGCTTCAGATATATAAAAATCATATTCAAATTGTGATTTTAGTATTTAGAGTAAAGTTCTCATCATTGATTTTTGTAAAATCATGATAAACAAAAAGTTTTGAGGAAAATTTTTCGGTAAAATTTATTCTTTTATAAAGAAAAATAATGTGATATTCATTGGGTTCGAACCCTGGCAATAAAAGTCCTGATTTGCATTCTCTATTGAGACTAGCACGCTAACCACTACGCTACACAAGTCCTGATGAAGTGTGGCATTTAAATCATGTTTGTGATATGACCATTGACTTAAGGGACTTCGAGTATTTCTCGAAAAGATGCGAAAGTTATGTCATAAACTTATATTTTTAAGGTATAGTGGGTCATTGCTCCATAATTTTGGAAACCAAAATATGTATGTTTTTATGCAAACTTTGAGGATTACCTTTCAAAAAAATGGAGAGAAGACCCACTCATAACGAAAAATAGTGTTATAGTGTGAAAAAATGACTCGTTTTGTCCTCTTTTGTGTGTGTATAATATTTCATAGGCAAATAACTTCAATTTTAATGAGATTTGTGCAAGTTGTAGAGATTTTACAAAAAGTATACTTTACTGTTAGATGAAATATTAAGGAAAATTTTGATATAATTGAGATTTAATTTTTCACTTTCATGTTTGTTGCGATATGGGCTTATATCTCGTCATGTTCACCCATCTACTTTTTAACGGATTTTATTACAGAGATGTGGTTTCAGAACTGTAGGTGCAGAGAACAAGTGTTTTTTTTTTCAAAGAATTAATACATTTTTACCATAAATGATCAACAGTGCCCCGCACTAACTCTAGAACCCTTGACCCAGGGGTCATGATTTTCAGATATCTAAAAGAAGCACCCTTGCCCATCATAACATACAATTAATTTGTCTGATGAAATCCTTCGCACAGAGAAGATATTCAAAGACTTACATGTAATGCATTATCGCTACCTTGCCAATAGAGGAGTCCCGACTTTCCCATGAATTTCAAAATTTTGAGAGAGGCAGTTTTGCTTACTATATTATAGTCATGCCTTAGTGTGACTGTTTTTCCAAGCGCAGATAGAAAGGATGATCAAAGAATTAATGCATTTTTACGTAAGCCTTACATATCAAGGAGATCGTATTCTCCAAAACCACTGACAAAGGGATCTTATTATTATTTTTTTTTTTTACATTATTTGATGATAATTAACCCCTGCTAATATTAATTCGCTATAATATTAGGTATAAAAATTTACAGACGGGGACGGATTTTTTGACGATTTTTTTAAAGGTGCTTCTAATAGACACAGATTTGATGTTGATATTTTCTCTAATTTCAATATAATTTCATGTTTTATGCTATTATGGGTATGATGTTTAATTATAATGGACAAATTTTCCAGACTCAAAAACACTTGTCTGATCAGGGTAAAAATCAGGGTAAAAAGGCCATGTACAGTTTATTCAACAAAATGAACGATTTGAATTTTAACATTATGTTTAATGTGGAAACAAAAATTGGTCTTTTTGATACGTATGTAAGTAGTGTGTTATCTTGTGCATCAGAAGTGTGGTGGTTACGCAAGGGACCTGATGTAGAAAAAGTACACCTGTCATTTTCTAAGAGAATTTTAAATGTTAGAAAAAGTACTTGTACTGATAAGATTTATTGTGAACTGGGAAGAGTACCACTTGAAATTTTTAGAAAAAAGAACATTTTAAGTTACTGGTTATTTTAAAACAACAAAATAGTGACAATTGTAAAGTCTTGTTTACAGGATAGGATAGAAAATGATGATGTTTGGATTTCAAACATAAGAAATCCAACCTAATTCAACCTAAATGGTTTATTGGATCTATATAATAATAGTAAAATAGATTCACATTCTGTTAAGATATTGTATGAAAGAATATGTGGTACTTTCAAACAAAAAAACATTATCAAATATACGCGTCTCATTAAAAGGATTTTTATATCGACATTTAGTAGGTAAGTTTACTAAATGCAATCATACCCTTGTAAACCTATACTGGCAAAATATATAACAAGTGCTTCCAGAATAAGATTATGTGCTCATGACTTTTAAATATTGAAAGAGGGAGATATAATGTCACACGTAGGAATCTTAGAAAATGTGATTTAAGTGATACGGGGAATTTAGAAGATGAATTTCATTTTATACTTAAATGTTCAAAAATTGACAATTTGAGGAAATATATATATATACATGTATATAAAACTATTTTGCATTTCGATCAAGTGTATTTAAATTTATGATTCAATTGTTTTCAAGTTCAAATACTAAGGAAATATGTAATCTTGGAAAATATATATGTTTTGCAAACAAAGTAAGAAATTAATTGTTAGAATTGTAAATGCTTTATTGATACAATGTACATACTTAATACTATACATTATTTATGTTGTTCATGTGAATTGCCCTACTGTGTAATAACTAATATACTCGTATGTATTATCATGTACCCATGAGATGTATGTCTCTTGGTTTTAATAAAATCTGAAAAATCTGAAATTAATGTTGCTATAGCATTTCATACGATTTCATACGAAAATATAATAAAATATTTTATTTTATGTATACATATTTTTTAAGGAATGAATTTAATAGCTACCCATTTTATACGGTATAAACTGAAGCGGTTTATAAAAAAGCGTAAACTGTTCCAACCCAGTTTATACCGTATAGAATGGGTAGCTATTAAATTCATTGCTTATAATGTAATTTTCATTCATTTGATGTAAGAAAAAAGAATATTGTTCTGACAAAATGACTTCAAATTGTACAAAATTTGAATGTAAAGTCAGGCGGATTGATACGTTTTTGACGAAAGTCATTGTGACGTAGGCAACCCATTTTATACGATATGAAGTAATTTTTTTTATCCAATCAAATACAGCGTTACAACCAGAATTAAATTATTAGAAATTAAAAAAAAAATAAAATAAAATAAACTTTTTGGATCACAAGTTTTTATAAAGAAAAGAAGGGTCTTCTTGGACCTAAAACTCAAACAAACAACCAACACAGATGTTTTTTGAGAAGAAATAAATCTAATTGCATATATATATATGCAATTAGATTTATTTCTTCTCAAAAAAAAAAAATAAAAGCTAAGTACCCTGACATACTATATGCAGTATATTAAATGATTATGAACGAATAAGGATTAAGAAGTACTTTTTTTAAATACAAACCTTTCAGCCTTTCCGTATGGAATTCCGACGTAAGACTGTCCCGACCAGGTAAGGTTTCCTCTCACTTTCCCGGACTCCGTATTTCGAATGATATGACGATTTCTCCACCGGGCCAATGTCACATTGCTGAATGACATTGTTAGCAGGGCATAGAGCACACAGGATAATAAGTTTACCATGATTGTCCTGTGTAAAACAAAGAACACGTTCAGATTCCTGATATCATTGAGCAGCTGCCAGTGACAGTCTAAATATTGTAAAATTGGAATTTGATGAACAGTTGTTTTTAATATATATATAGCCTGTGTACATGTAATAAAATTTCTTATTGTTATTCTGCGATAGCTCTCCTTGCCTATAACGTGTAACATCTAATTACCCCGCTCTAACGTGGGATGTTACCTGAAAGTACATCAATAAAGTAAATGTAAATTTTAATAATAATGTATATAATTTTTGGCTATATTTTTCTTCTGGTTGATTTCTCTTCCTTAAAGATCGACAAGTTATGATTATGTTGTATTTCGCAACACTATTATGATTTTCATCTTCACCAAGGTCAAGAGGATTGAAATATTAAAAAAAAAGGTAATAAAAAGGAATTGACGAAATGCTTACTTCAAATCGTCATCTACCTGTAGTAAACAGGAGGATGGTGTGACCCCCATTAAATGAAAGAGTATGTTATATGTAACGATGGGAAAAAGGTGAAGAATAACACTACAATTTAGAATTCATAGCCTTTGAAATCAGAAATTAGGAAAAGTTTTTTTTTTTTTTTTTTTTTTTTTTTTTTTTTTTTTTTTTTTATTTATTTACAGATTCTAATACATACTTATACAATATAAATATACATTTTCTGTAAATTTTTTATAGAGAGAGAGAGAGTAGAGCAAGAGAGAGAGGAGGGCGAGAAGGGATAGTAAGAAAAAAATTACAAAAACAGATTCTTCCAGGGTTTCCAGGCTTCGTCAAAAGTCAACTGATTATTGTTTTTATATGCAATATACTTGTTTATTTCATACATATATTTGATGGAGGATATCAGTTCATTCAAGGAGAGGTATTTACCACTACATCTCATTCTGTAGATAAAATATTTAATCTGAAGAGCAATGAGATATTTTATTTTGTCTAATTTTGCAAAAGATCCCAATATGAATTCTTTTTTCAAATATACAACATTAATATGAATCTTTCTAAAACAATAACTATCAAAACTATTCAATAAGTCTTGTACTACTTCACATTCCCAGAAGATGTGTTCAATAGTTTCTGTCTCAGTTTCACAAAAAGAACACTTGTATGAATCTATTTTCTTAATTTTATGTAAAAAGGAATTTGTTGCTAATATTTTATGATTAATGCGGAACTGAAACCACTGAAGTTTTGTATCTTTTGTGAGCTTAAAAGGAAATGAAAAAACTTTTTCCCATTCACTATCATTCAAGTTAAAAATTCTATTCCAGCTAGTCTGACCTAAAGGCTTGATATCATTGCTTTTCAAAATTTCATATAAATTTCTTGATTTCTTCGCATTTAATAAACGGAATGTTTTTTGTGTAATATATGGCATATACACAGTTGGCATAGAAATTATATTTTTGGTTTTCATCCATTCTCTGATAGCAGCTATAAGTCCATTGTACTCAAGAAAGTTTGTATGGATTCCATATTTCAATTTAAACATATTAATGTCCATAAAGGAACCGTCCTCTCTTAAGAGATCATTTACGAAAAATACATTATTTTCAAACCATTTCTTATAAAAAATTGTTTTCTTGCCAATCAGTATATTTTTATTAAAAAATAGTGGTTCCATAGAGGCACTTGCTTCTGGTTCTGGTAATTTTTTAGAAAAAAATAGCCAGGCTTCTAAAACATTTTTCCAAAACATATTTTTTACATCTTTAATTTTCTTGAGAATGTATTCTTCTCCACAAAAAACTGTTTTTTTTAAATCTAAAGTTAGATATGAATATTTACCTTGCAGTATGACATTTTTCATCCATACAAGTTTCAGAGACATAATAAACTCTTTAATACTAATCATCTTGAAACCGCCATCTTTAAGATCTTTAATACAAACTCCTTTTTTTAGTCTAAAAGCATTACTCCCCATTACAAAAGAATAAAAGGTGTTTTCTAAATCTTTTATATATAAATCAGTGGGATTTGGAAGGGAGGCAAAAATATGATTCAATGTTGGCATTAAAAGTGTTTTCAAAACTGTTAATCGTCCTAGTGGTGTGAGATTCCTATGTTTCCAATGTCTTATCATTTTCTTTATGTTTTCTAACTTTGAACTGAGATTCCTCGAAAGTATCTTCTGCAAATCTATATCAAATTCAATACCAAGTAACCTAAAGTTTTTCTTTCCCCACTCAAGAGATTGATTTTTACATAAAACCTCATCACTACCTTTTTTGCTACCTATCCATATTACTTGTGTTTTATCGTAATTTATATGTAAGCCGGACATTTTTGCAAAATCTCTAAGGGTACCTAAACTTGATTGTAAAGATTTCTCACTGCCATCTAATATAAGAGAAGTGTCATCAGCGAGCATCGAGATTTTCTTTTCCCCATCAATAAAATATATACCTTTGATGTCTTTGTTATTTCTTATCTTAATAGCAAGGATTTCAGCACATATCAAGAATAAGTATGGGGATAGTGGGTCTCCCTGTCGACACCCTCGATGCAAAGAGAATGTTTCAGATAAATTTCCTCCCTGATTTACTGCTGATGTAATGTTTGAATAAAATAAACTGACCCATTTCCTCATAGACTTTCCAAAATTAAAGAATTTAAGTGATTTTTGAATAAAAGCCCAAGAGACAGAATCAAATGCTTTTTCAAAGTCAACAAGAAGAAGAAGACCTGATATTTTTTCTTCTTCTGTGTATTGCATAATGTCATAGATTAGTCTAATGTTTTCAGCTATATGCCTGCCCTGTATAAAGCCTGTTTGATCAGGATGTATAATTTTATCTAGAAACCTTCTAATTCTATTTGCTATTGAACCAGATGCAATTTTATAAACTGTGTTTAAAAGAGAGATAGGTCTCCAATTTTTTAACAAGTGTTTAGGTTTGTCACCCTTCGGTAAGCAGGTAATGATTCCATGTCTCTGAGTTACACTTAAGATATCATGATCATATGCATAATTAATTGATCGGACAACAAAAACGCCTATAAATTTCCAAAAGACCTTATAAAATTCTGAGGTAAAGCCATCTGAGCCAGGTGATTTATTTGATTTCATCCTAAAAAGTGTTTCCCCTGCCTCCTTCATTGTAATTTGACCTTCTAATGACCTTGACTCTTCATTGGAAAGCTTTTCAATATCTGAAAAATTCATTTCCTCCTGAAGGTTAACATTTTCAATGACATCATCTACATTTCTATATAAATTTTCATAATATTGTTTGGTTGTTTTTAAGATATCTGACTGATTATAAACTGTCTCTCCATTTTCTAATTTAATTTTTGGAATAATTTTACTTATGAAATTTCTTGACTCGAGATTACAGAAATATTTTGTCGGTTTCTCCCCTTCTTCTATCCATCTTGCCCTTGACCTTATATATACACCAGCCATTTTTTCTTTTCTAATATCTTCCAACTCTTTCTTTTTTTCTTCAAGAGTTTCATTATTGCTTGTAGACCCCTGTGCCAATTCCTCCAGGGAACTTATTTCTTTTATAAGTTTTTCTTCTTTAAAAATTCTGGATTTTTTTTTAAAAGACGAATATGAAATACATTTCCCTCTAATTTCCATAAGAAGTGTTTCTAAAAATAACTGGTCATTGACTGAAAATGCAATATTTTCATCTTCAATAGATTGCAAGTTATCTATATTGTATACTGGAACTGCATACTGCTCTTTAACCCTTTGTATCACCCCCTTAATTGAGTTTAAAAATTCTTCATCATATAAAAGAGAATTATTAAATTTCCATAATCCTTTGCCTTTCTTAAAATCATTGAACTTTAAACATAAAGTAATAATCGAGTGGTCGGACCTATAGCTAGGTTCTATAGAACTTGTTGTAACACTTGACAGTAAGTTCTCCGATTCAAGAAAAAAATCTAATCTACTTTGCTTAATGGGACTTTTTTTTCTCCAAGCATATCTCAAAGCATCTGGATTATTTTGTCTATAAATATCAACTAAGTTGTTATCTTCCATAAGCTCTATAACCCTCTGTCTTGCATTAGGGTTATTTATATGTTTATAGAAATTAGGAAAAGTTTTTCCACAGTACTTAATGCAGAAGACCAAACGTAGTAAAGTTCTATGAACTCAAGGCAGTGTCAAATGTTAAATCTTTAAGAAAACTTTGTACATTTATTTCAAAATTATTTGAGACTGTCTGTCCCACTTAATTGTCCCCCTGGTGTTTTTCCTCTGCATTGAAAACATACATACTGTTATTACTATTTGTCTATCCTTTTCACATCAGTTGTAAAATATTGATTTATGTATATGTTATATGTACTCCTGACGATTTGATAGATATCTAATTTATACTCTATGTTTCTCATATACCATGCTGTATGATTTGAGCGAGTAAACTGATTGACAGATGAATAAATAAAGTACTCAAACACAGCGTAGAGTTAAAATCCAGGTTCATCACCCTTTTGAATTCATGAATTAAGATTTGTAATAAATTTTTGTGTGAAATGCTATTAAAATATATAAGTCGTAATATTATAGAGAATATAATAACTTCAAATCTGTGTCCAAGTACCTTTAAAATTTGACTAACTCTATATTTTAAATGACTTTGTAATTGGCATCTGTATAACAACATGTGTACTCAAATGTAAAAAGCTGGAATCGTGGCCTGGCATGACAGCTCTACATTAAGTTGTCTTGCTAGTGGCGGTTAACAATAATTTTTAATAGCACCTGTTGTTCCAATTTCATAAAATGTTTAAATCGATACCGTATAAGTTGTAATTTTAGCGGGAGGCAAATTTAGCGATTTGTCCTTAAAAACTGGTATTTTATTTTAAGCGAGATGTAATTTTAGCGATTTTAAAATGCTCACTAAAGAACCTATTACAAACATAAAGCAATAAATTTTTAGCGATATTCATTTTTAGCGATCTCAGCACCCTCGCTTATAATGCCAAAATTAAATCCTCGCTAAAAATTCTACTTCTACTGCATTAAAAAAAAATATTATTTGTGA